GAGCTGTAGTTTGTTGTGTTTATAAGTGACAGTTTTCTTGCTAAGTACGTGCATGTCATAAGCATTTGAATTAAAATTACAATATTGAAATCAAATTTGATGTTTTTTAAATTTTTATTTGGTGTACATTGGAAGAGGGGTAGTCTTATACAGTGAGTATATCCCAAACTATATTTTAATTGGAAAAGTTAAGGATTGTCTGATATGCCCAGTTGTCTTATACGCCAGAAAATATGGTAGCATTTTGAAAATGTTTTCTCTCATACCTTTCTTCTTTAGTGCAACTGCACTGCTTTGAAACACACATGTGCATGTGCGCGTACGCATGCGCGTGCACACACACACACACACACACACACACACACAAATGTGATAAATCACTTCACTGTAGTTCTGGTATTACAGCAGTCCATGCCATAAGGGGGCTTGATTCTCCTCCTTTCCTCCTTCTCCCCCTCATTATTCCAAAATAGGTTGATTCAGTGCCTTATAGTTTATTTATTTTTAATTTTACTGTGCTTGTGTAACTGCAACAAAACCTGGTTATAGTCATTTTTATTTTAACATTTTGTTGTAAGTACAGAAACACAGCAGAGATAAAAAATCTCTCACAAGCATAGAGTTAGTCTGCTTTAGAATAGTAAGTGGTAGAAAGGAGGAGTATCCGACCCTTCAAGGCACTGACTGTTGTAATGCTGGAATTGAAGTGTGTTTTCACACCTGTGCAGCTGTGCTATAACAGCACAATCAAGATCCCATTGATGAGTTTTGCCCATCACAGAAAAGGTACACTGGACTCATGAACAGAATGCAGTTTGACTGCAGGAAGGACACAAATGTCATGTGGTAAATAACAGCCAAAGACACTTTTATCCTGTTAAAATTCAGCTTTTAAGCCTTGAATGGTAAAGGTCATTCTCAGCCCTGAATCGACTGCTATTTAGTTTCATTGCAAGGGCTTGAATTCAAGTTATAAAGGAAAGAAACCATCTCTCTCTTGCTCTTTGCACTGTTCAGAACTTTACAAATCTCAAACATGCCGCTTCACCCTTCCCAGCCTCCTCCAACAGCTAAACAAGCCCAAATGTGTAGGGATTCCCTTCGAGGCTGTCCCTTAATCATTTTAAAGTGATCTCAGATTCTATTTTCTCAAATCAGGGTATCTAATTTGCACATTATGCAGATTTATAATGTGCATATAGTGCAAATGTAGCACATTAATTGCTGCATTTCCCCATCACCCTCACTTTTTTTTTTCTGTCTTGGTCCCATTTATATAGTGAGCATTGATCTGAGGAAATCCAGCATAGTGTAATGTTTGGAGTGCTGGACTTGGAACAGGGACACCAACAGTCCGATAGCTGCTTGGACACATACTTTACCAGGTAACCTTGAGCCAGTCATTATTTTTCACCTAAAAGCAAACTGGATAGAAGTATCATGGGCTAGATGCTGCTCTATTGTTCACCTGCTGCCTCCAGTCCAGTTGTATCAGCATTATATTCACATCAGCTTACATATACCAGTCATGCAGAGTGACAGCAGGATTTGTATTTTAGCCCAGAGCTCAAGTAATTTAGGTTAATCATCTGCTTGAAAAACCACTTATTGTTCTAGACTATAATGGAAGTCAAAGGGGTGGGGGAGCAATTGTCCTCACTGAAGTCCTATGTGATTGACGTAAACTAATCTTGTATCATTTCATAGTCTTTTATATAAGACTTCACCTTTCCCCACTTTTACTAAAGTTAAATTAAAGACCTATGCTAGCGCAAGACTGGGGAGCCTGTAGCACTCCAGAATGTGATGAACTCCAGTTCTCAATAGTGTTTGCTAGCCTGGCCAATAGTGATGGATGATGGAAGTCAATGCCCACCAACATTTGAAGGATACAGGGTCTCCATCCCTTTTGCCAATGTTTTATGGGAATAAATGGGCATCTCATTATTACAGATCATGTCAGGCATCAGTGGTTTATGATGTTTTTAAAGTTTTTTTAAACTAAGCAAACTAAGCTTTTGGTTGCATTATTGATTTAATGAAATTTATTTATTTAGAATATCCCAATCTCTGCTTGTTAATCACAAGGATTCATGAGACAGCTAAGAAATAAAACATATATAATCACAATAAAGCCTTGCACGATGAGCATAACTGATTTCTAGGAGAATACAGATCATCTTTTGCTATAGCTCCATGAAAACGGTTGCATTTATTTTATTGTGTAAATCAGTGATTCATCATAAACTTTTATCACAGTGAGCTAACCCAGGATGTAAATTACAACATGATGGTTGAAGCTTCCATAAAAGGAAGAGGCACATTTGGAATGGAAAGATCGAGAGTCAAACTCCTGGTTAGGCCTGAACCTCAGTTTAACACTTCTCTTGCACCACAGAGGATAGAGGAAGATAGCGAGGAAGTGTGGGATATGATGCGACAGTTAAATGTTAATTTTACCTATGGTGAATCCAATCTGGGGTTTAGTCCAAAACTTTAAAGGAAATATCCAAGGTGCTGAAACAAATTTGGGGGACTGGGTACAGCACTTTTGATAGATCACTTAAAATCCAGATCAGATTCAGATTCACCATCTCCATGCCATGGAAGCCACCAGTTCTTCTGGGAATACTGATAAATCAATGCTATTAGATGCTTGTAAGGACCAGGGGCAGAGGTTTGTTCCACCAGAGAGATTCAGCCCATCCCAGAAAGCTTCACCAACTGAACATATAAAGCCATTGGCACCAGAAACTCACCTTTGCTTCACTTGTCATAGTGCATGGCCAGACATAGTCCACATCTTTACTAGTCATCTCTGTGTTTTGTGAGTCATGTGAAACATTCCTAACAACCCAATTGGCATGCTCAAAGTAAAACCCACATGTGATAACCACAGCTAGTTACCATTCAGTCAGTTAATGCTTCTGGAGTACTTTCATATAGCATATAGCAAGGGAAGGGAACCTCTCTCACACAGGCCTAGTCCATCTGATGGAGGTTTTCTCACCCAGGCTTTGTAAGCCCTATATCCTCTGTGGGCTCCTCCCACTCTAAGCCCCACCCCCTGTGGACTACCTTGAAAAAGATCCCCTCTTACATCAAGATAGTGAGAAGTCTGTTCCTAGTTTGGTTCTGTCTTCCATAGGTCAGTGGGAACCAGTGGCTTCCATTTCAGTGGAAGTGGTGAATCTGTTCTGGGTTTTAGTCAGGATCTATCCAATTTTCTGGAACCTGCCTATAAAATAGTTTCAGCACCATGGATAGCTACTTAAAAGTCAGTTTAAAATCATTAGCAGGTTCACTACCCCTCTGACATGGGAACCACTGACCACTACTGTCCCATACAGGGAAAGGGTTGCACCAAACCTGACAACTCTTAGCCTTGGCTTGGAAGCATCAGCTGAGAACATTCATTCCACTTTTTGAGGAACTGAGAAATTGGCAAGCTGAGCTGGGTTATGTCTGTCCAAGTTTGGCAGCTGGGAGAACAACAATGTAATCATGTGACTCTGTGTTTCCACTGAAAACAAATCAAACCTATATTCATTTCTGAAGGAACTACTGAGCCCAACATGAAGTCTTTAAAAACCTATTGACATTTTGGCTGCCAATGCTCTCATCCCTGTTAGTAAACTGCTGGGGACATTAAGTCTGCTTAGCAAGCAGCAGTCTTCACTGCTGGCAAAATTATTCCTTCTGTTTCCACCATTCTGGCTGTGATCACCATTGCTTATGTAGCCAAAATGGTACCACTCGAGCCCAAGAGGGAGGTATCAGTGGGACTGGAGAAATTCTGAGGTTTGCAAAAATACAACAGCATCCAGGGAGAGGAAATTAAGAGGAAGAAAATCTCTTCCAACATGCCAATGAGGACTGTGTATTTTCAATCATCTTGGCTTGCCAAGAAATGGAGAGAAAACCAGGAGAGAAAGAAATGAACTAGCTGGAATCCTGAAAAATAGGACTCCACACTCTATTTTGTGTGACGTCCAGAACCCATGAAATTGTTTGTAAGGGGTGTGTGTGTGTATGAGGAATCAACATCAGCAGGCAGGATATTACTAATTTTGTCTACTTGTATGTACATTTAAAAAAATGAAAACACTAAATGCCTTCCATTAAAAAAACGATCACACACAAGTGAGGCAAAAAACTTTCTGGCTACAATGAAAACGATTGAGAAATAAATGATTTACAAAATGGGTCAAATTTTGAAAACACACACAATTGATTTATCAAGCAAAGAAAAAAACATTAACAGCCTGCTAATAAGTGCCTACAAGGTTTCCTATCACATCTGTATCTTGGCTTCATTGTTGTTAAAAGCAAAAGCTGGGTGAGGTATGTTGGGAAATGTAGGATACTCATTAGCTCTCTCAAAACAAAAGTTTAAAAAAAGTATATTTACTATACTTGAAGTGTGGAGAATCAGGTGTAGGGCAAATTCAGAGAGAGAGAACAAATTACTTCTTCCATCCATTATCTCTGAATCACCCTTAAATATGAAGATATCTGCATGAACAATGTGTACTTACAAATTCCCTCCACATGTTCAATGTAGATTGCTCCTAAGTAAATCTGCACAGAATAGATTGCAAAAAGCTTTCATTATTCTTGAGAGGGTTCAGTGACAATCACTGTCTTCATATTTCTTTTTATATATATATATAATATAGTATACATACATTTCATTAGAGCATACATAAGTCCAGAGAATTTAAGTGTCATAAAATTTTATAAGTCAACTCATTTCTTAGATAATATATTAGACCTTTATACCATCATTTAGTAGA